ATGATTTTTCTTGCACACTTTCTTACACCCTTTCTTACGCATAAAAAATGGTTCAAAGCATGTAGATCTATAAACATATGAAAATCTTCAAATAGATGGTCTAGATAATGTACTGTAAGATGCAGTAATTTTGCGACTCGAATTTTTTTTATCTTTCTAATAGTTATTTCGATGTCACGATGATCGATTAGAGGGTTTTCCAACTTTAAAACAACTTTTTATGATGGATTTTTAGGTGTACCTTAATTCTATATTTTAAGGTGCAACCTTATGCAAACATTTTCCAATATTAAAAAGCTAACTATAAGATCTTTAGAACTATTTTTAAAAAGCATTCAGAGATTTGATCCGATACTCTTCTTTAAAGGATGTGAAAATTCTGTGGCCGTAGAAAGAATAATTTATTGGCAAATAATCATCGCTAACACAGATCGAATGCTGTGTTTGTTTCAGAACTTTATATGGATTTTACTATTCACGTCTACGACAATTTTTAAATGCAATTTGAATATATTTAATCAATTACTAGTATTATATGTACTTACTCCAGTTCTTGAAGTATACGACAAATGAAATACATGGAAACAATTTCAGACTTTCTATTGCTCTAGATCAGGCTGTCAAGGGAGTGGCAGGACCAATATAAGTTGCACGATATGCGACACTCCAGTGTGGAATGGGTATCTCACAAGGCATTGAAGCAAAACTTGCTAAAAATCCTTTTTCTCTCCAAAACAGCACCCCCATTTTCATAATTTATCAATTGATGATACCTTTCCCAAACCCAACTTTTCCATATGAAGCAATCATTCAACTATTTTAGGTCCCTTAGGGATTACCGATTAATAATTAGGGAAAAGTTTGTATAGAGCCGAGCAATCAAATTAGAGCCTACTTCAAAAAATTCACTTGAAGAGGTTGTTTTGATGTTCAAATTGACCATCTCGACATCAAGATGCATGGAAATGAGAAAAAAAATAAATTTCAAGTTTTGAAAATAATGTATTTTATAATGCATTTTTTGAACCGTCAATTTTTGAGATTTTCAAGTTTTTATAGATTAGTCGATCTACACTATTTTGAAGGCTTAAATTTATAAATAAGGATGAAAATATTTTTAAGACTATCATAGTAGATTTCTAATATTCAAACCACATTCTCTATAATATTTGAAGGTAAGCTCTAATTTGATTGTTTAGATCCTAGGCTCTGTACAAACTGCACCCTTAATAATTTGTCAAAAGAAACAACAGCTACTCATAAAAAAAAGTTTCATGGGTCCAGGCCATAAAGGAAGGGATGTCATCCCGATCCACAAATATTTTGTAGTTGAATGTTTCCCATAGATAAATAATTGGTAGGTGAAACCTAATTTTTTACTGGGTGTGGTTTTCATATGGTTGTAACCTTAGACAATCCAATTAAGGCGCGCACCTTCAAATTTTATTATAATATATAATTTTGATGTAAAATATTATTAAGATTATCTCAAAATCTACTTTCATATCTAATTATAAAATTTTAAACTCCAAATATAGTTAAAATCAAGTATATCTATAAATATATGAAAATCTTGAAAGTTAATGGTCTAGATAATGTGTTGTAAGATGCACTATTTATAGGACTTAAAATCTTTTTTTTTCATAGTCATATGTCTCGGTGTCAAGATGATCAATTAGAAGGTTTTTCAACATTAAAACAATATTTTCCGATGGATTTTTAAAGTGCATCTATAGTTCTACATTTTAAGGTTGCAACCTTGTATATACTTTTTCCTTTTCTAAAACAATAAGAACCTCGCTTTACGCTGTTGTGGCTAATATATTTATTTTCCACAACTTCTTTTCATTGTGTTCATGCGCGTCCCCAACTGCTTCGATTTATACTAAGATGTAATTTAAGTTAATCATTAAAACCCAAAACGACTAAAGACCATTTGATCCATGTTCTGATATGGCATGGCAATGAAAAATCATCAGTATCGACATACATGAAAATAGAAGTTTCAACTTAAGCAGAGAAAATATTGTTATCATCCGAACCTCATCCTAACTATTTAGGCTTGGTTAAGTAGAGAAAATATATCAGGAAAACTTTCTTTCCTACTTGAATTAACCTTTTTTTTATTGTTGTTGTTGTGACATGTAAGCCAGCATTTGTGCGGGTGCTCTACACATTGTATCAATATGATGTACTTATATGGATGAAATTTCACAAGAGGTTTTCTCAACCTGTGTATTATCTCTACACATGAGAAAAAATAAATTAAAAAGCGGGAGTTAAATGTCTATTTACTCTCTCAGATAAAACTGGATACAATCCCACTTAGAATTAATTTTAATATCTTAAATTTTGAGGATGTGACATCTTCAATCCATGGATTGATTTGAATAAAAAGAATTTCTTAATTATATACTCTATGCAGTTGAAAAAAAAAAAAAAAGGTCTCCAAATTGAATAGGGATCATCTGATTTTTGGATTATCATATCTAACTGTTAGAAAACTCAAATTTTAATTTTTTTTTTTCTGAGAACAATTACCTAATAATTATTGTCAAAAGTTCGGATGGAAAAAAATCCTTGCGAGTGACCAAATGAGTAAAAACAGACCATGTCCTTGACGGAGCATTGTAAACGTGCTCAATTGAAAATTGCTGACACGTATGATGAGGTACAATTTGTCATGTGGCAAGAATATCAATTGGTAAGGGTGAATTGGATTCGTAAAGCAGATATATTATGACTAGCACTAAATACAACTTAAAGAATATCAAGATAATTTGTTTAGGTTAAATGGGTTTAGACGCTTATTGATTTGTCATTGGTAAGGGTGAATTGGATTCGAGCCTCCTGTTTTTTAGGCTTATTGATTTGTTGTTGTTTGTGCTTGCCATATTCATTTGGTTCTCTGTGCTTGTTGATCGAGCAATCTAAACATGCACTTAAAGATCCAATTGCTTATTTCCGTAACTAGTTTTCAAACTCCAACTCCTCTGTACTTGTTGATCAAGCAATCTAAGTATGCACTTGAACATCTAACTGCTTGTTTCTGCAACTAGTGTCCAAACTCCAATTGCTCTCTGTCATATCGTCTTGTGTTGGAGGAGGAGTCTGAAAGGAAAGAACATATTATCTACAAGGTTAATATGGAAGGTGTATATTATGATCTATATATTTGGAAAGCGTGGATAATATATCTTACATTTACGGCAAGTTTGGATATAATATATGAATTTGTGATTAATTTCTATTCTAGTTATTTATAATTGGTCTATAAAAAATAAGTCTATATTATTCATATGATTAATGAACACTAAGTCTCCTTAGAGAAACATGAGACTCTTCACAATTAGTGATTACCAATTTCTTGTAAGCACTTTTATGTATTTTGATCCCCTTGTAGCTACATCTATTTATAATTAATAATAGTCATGTGTTAATGTTAAAAAAAAAAGGTGTCAACCATATAAAGTTTTGAGAAAATATGTTCATACCTCATATTTTTAAGTTTCATTTCACAATAGACCCAAGTTTTTAAAGATACTTTAGAGCATTAAAATTACAGATTTTATTTCTTCTAACCTCCTAAGCTAATTTAAATTTGTTTTTTTAGGCCAAACAAATTCTAAAAGTTATCCTCCCAAACTTCTAGAAAGAAAGAGAAAGACTCTATAGAAGTGAGAGATTACCGGGAGGAGAGAGACGTGTTTGGAGAAACATGGGAGGAGAGAGAACAAGAGAGACGTAACAAAAGAGAGAAAGAGAGAAGTTTTGGTATATACACAAAGAGAGAAAAATGATTGGATTTAGAAATAACATACCTTTCTTACATTTTTTTAGGTTAAAAAAGAAATTTAAAGTGATCAGGAGGTTAGAAGATATCTATTGAAACTTTAGATTTATAAAAAAAAAAACTTAAAAATAAGAGATATGGAGATATTTTTTTAAAACAATTTTATTTTATAATTAGAGATAAAAATAAATTCTCACTCCATCGTAAAATTTTTCGAGACCAAAATTTGCTTCATAAAAAAATTTTGGGAGTGCACCTTAATTTGATTGTTTAAAATTGGAATCCTATGTAAACCACACCCTAAAGTCAATGTTTCCAACATTTTTAGGTTCTTAATCAGCCGTTTAAGGTTCCCGGTTAGCATTGGCAGTGGTTTGCTGTCACTGTCCAATAGGTAAGGTATAATTGTATGAGAATCTTAAGGTTAGAAATGACAACCAATTCTTTTGCTCCACCTGAGTTGTCCACGTGGGTGGGTTTGTTTGCTTGCTTGCTTCACATGGACCCACAAAACAGTCAAGTCCCTTTTATTGCTTTAATTCATCAACCATATATGGCTCCACCTTATCCAGAATTATATTGGTCATTATTCTTAGGGTCCCCTCATTGAAGTCCCCATTGAGGAAAATGTTGGACATATTTTTTTTTTTTAATTTTTTTTTCTTTTTTTAATTTTGGTATTTAATTATGAAAATGTATAAAAATATTTAACAATTTACTTTTGGTGTGAGTCGATAGATATTAAAATACATCTTTTTGTGTCATTTGACAGGTCGTTTAAAATTTGAGAAAGAGAAATGAGCTATTTGAAATTTGATACATTTGACGGGTTTGTTTAAAATGTGAAAAAGAGAAATGAGCTATTTGATTAAAAAATGAGCTCTTTGAAATCCTTAAGAACGCATATAAGATATTATATAATTCACATTTTTTGGGGGTACATTATAATTCAATGGAGCTTGATACGTGTCCCCTAAATTTTATTTGGAAAAAAGCAAGGGTTGAGTTAGCAGTGGCTTCAAAATAATACATGGTAACTCATTTTCTTTTCATTTTATAGTAACGGTTTTTTATTCCCGAAAATGACGAACTTGCCCCTTGAACAGCTATTTAAACTAATTGCACCGGTGGTCAGTCAGTTTCCAGGCCACAACAACAAGCGCCACCTTCCTTATCCCTTGCTCATTGTCGAACACTTCCCCCCCCCCCTGCTCTTTCTCTCTCATCATGGACCAGAGCCACCACCACCACAGGGCTTACACCGTGTTCACTCGCCTTGCCATCGTAACATTCCTCGCGGCCATCTCGGCTTGGGCAAACTATGAAGCCACTAAAGCTCTCGACATCTCCATCTCCATAGAAGATCCCTTGTCGTTCTCAGGCCACCGCTTCCACCAGCTCTTAGCCTCTGATGACAGAGCCATCCGCATCGCCCTCGAAGCGAGCAACTTTGCATGCCGCATTCTCTCCTCTGACAAACCCGTCTCTCATGTCACAATCCAACTTTCTAGCCTTGATATGGCTCATAATGAGTTCATAGTGCGTAGGGATTCAACCGAAGGACACGATTACACCATTGTCGTGAACCCATTGGTTATGGGTGTGGCTGACCCTGTTAGGGCGGTTCGAGCAATTATGCATCGTGCCATGGCTTGGGTGTGGGTTTGGGATGGGTTTGGTCAGGCCCCACAGTCACTCCTAGCTGGCATAGCTGAGTATGTGGGAATAGCAGCAGGATTTGGACCAGACCCCGAACCGGAAGCTAGCTGGTTATCGGTGGCCACCCATAGAACATGCTGGCAAGCATATCCGAGTGGGACAATGGCCTCATTCCTCAGGTACCTCTTTTTGCTTTTTCCTTTTCTTTCTCTTCCTTTTTCTCCCTATTATATCAGAATTGTGATTGAAATAACAATTGGTTTGTATAACATTATTATACTAAATGCACCACAGAGCTACTTTGAAACATAATCAACCCCTTTATCAATATACTCTGTTCTGGGAAAAGGGATCTGACGATTTGTTCAGAAAAGAAAGTGCAATTGAGGTACATGAACCATGCTCCACAGGAAATTCATGTACAGTAGCTGTGGCAAATATCCATGTCATGACAAGGGCTCTTCTAGCAGTTTCCGCCGCTGCCATTTTCGGCACAAGCATGCTAATTCCCGAACGCTATGATTTGCGGAGCAGAAACACCTCCTTGACAACCTTGCATATGAGTCCGTCTTGTTGAACACAAATCCGCACAACCAAACTTGGGCTATTTTCTCGAAAATTGAAAAGTCCTGGGTGTGAGTGGTAAAGGGTTCAAGTTTAATTCCGAAGTTTGTCTGAAAAAGCCCAAATCGGCTAAGTTGTCTAGGGCTGAGAATGGGTCGGAGGTCTCGATCTACCTAGATCAGGATTTGGATCTGAGACGTATTCATAGGATTTGGATTTAGATCCTGATCCAATTGGATCCAAAATATTTGGATCCAGATCTGGATCCAAAAAATATATATCAGAAACAGATTGGATCCGATCCAAGAAAATTATTTTATATCATAAATATTTTAATAACTGGTTCTGATCCGTATCAGATTCACTTGTACTCAGATCTAAATACCATTTGGATCCAAAGTTTAGATCCGAATCCAACCCATTAGATCCAAATCTTGGATTAATCTAAATTAGATCCAAAATTCGGATTTCGGATCCAAGCCGAGTAAAAATTCTTAGCCCTAAGTTTATCCCTTTCTTGGGGAGGCAATCTATCAAAATATATCTAACTTATCAATTATTTCACAATTTTATCCATTTTTAACTATATGTTGGATATTCCGTCTCTTAAGTGCATTTTGACAACTTTCCCTTCTTCTCCTTCTTCTTCTTTTATTTTTATTTTTATTTTTTTTAACTAAAGCTAGTTAATAAAAAAAATCTGTACATGTAAGCCTTGACTATGGCAATTGCAGGTACATTGAGCAGTTGAGACCAGGATTCATTGCACTTTTGAATGATAAACTTCGGCACGTGTGGCACGATGGCATGCTGGATGAGACACTGGGGATGGAGACAGGATCATCTTCACAACAACTATGCTCCTCTTTTATGCACCAACTTAACAATTCCTCTTCTGCCACCTTTGTCATGTGAATGCTGATCTGGCAACGGGGCCCTGGATAATTGCCTGGCGCTATCCGCTCATGCATTGTTTGGGAACCCGGGATCTGGATTGGGAATGATTGATCCGATTCAAAATCGTTGGGTGGGCAATCTGCATCTCTCATTAGGAGCGCCGATTTTGCTATTTGTATTTCTTTTACCATTTTTTTTTCTCAATCTAAATAATTTAAAATTTATGTTCATATACCCCTTTTCAACAGTTTTTGTTTTTTTCTAAAAATTGCACCTGTCTCGTGTCTTCAAGTTCTGAAATCCCTATGAAAATTTTGGAGTGGGAATATCCTAATGTTCCTCTAGCTCCCATGGCACAACGGACCCACTTCTATTGTGTCATGAGAAAAAATGGAATTTCAGATTTTTCAGAATCCAAAACTCCGGAAACTTGGGATTTTGAAAACTCAAAGCTAAACTTGACTTGAAAATCGAAAGCGTCGACAGATTTTTCAAATCTGAATTATTGAAAAGCTCAAAATTTGAAAATCTAAAACTTTTTGGCACACTAAATTCTAGAAATTTTGGATTAAATATTAGATCTTCAAGATCCAAAATTTCACAAACTTGTGCCTTATTAAATTTCAAATTGTGAAGATCCAATTCATACAATCGTGAATATCCAATTCATACAATTTGTAAAAAAAATTAAAAATAAAATATTCTAAGGCGTCCGATCTAGATTAAACGGTTGATGGCTCACTTGATATAAGGACAGCTGGATGCGGGAAGTATATATCTTCTATGTTGTAGAGGAAGTATAGAAACATTTCCCATTATTAAATAAATAATGGTGAGATTGGGGGATATGAGCGTGAATTTCTCTTTAGAAAATTGTTTCATGCGGACTGGACTGCATTTCTATATATACGGTTCAAAAAGTATAAAGCATATATCTTAAAGATGGATACAAGTAGGTGTTTCATCTAAAACAATGAAAACCAATGGTCCAAATGTTTTTTTACTAGAATTATTATTTTTAATTTTTAAAATTTATTTATTTTTCACATTCATGATCTCCATATTAGAAATTACATATTTTTAAAAATTAAGTTTTAAAATCAATTTCAAACATATATTTATTATAGGCCCGTATTTCTACGTATGCGGGCTTGACCGCATAGAAACCGGGTCCTCTCTCTTTAAAATAGGTGCATGAATCATCATTCTACATGTCACATGGGATCATCAGTGCTGACTCAGGTCGTGTATGAACAGGTGGGTTGTTTAAAGAGGGTTTTCTATCGCCGCATTGTCGATGAAGACGGTCCACGTTCCAAAATGCATCCAGGCCGTCCATCAGCCTTTGAAAGGGAAAACGGCGTAGGTGGGGTCCGTCAATACGGATAATGGCAACAAAAAAGAAGGGGCAATAGTATATTTTAGTTTTTATTTGTATTTTTTTGTTATATGGTAAGAGTATTTTATTTTATTTTTTTGTTGTATTATTGTTATCCATTGGAATTTAACTTATTTGCTAAAAAAAAAAAGAGTAATGGTGTAGGTTGGATAAGGTTGCATCCTCAAACAATTAGGTGGGCCTTGAAACTTTGTCAAGAGATGTAATTTTTGGACTTAAAAACTTTTAGGTCCTCTCAAATGGTTTAGGAATTAGTTTATTGGAAGATGTTAGTAGGATGATGTAAGTGGGAATAAATACCGCAAAATAGTGGGGTGCTACTACCACGACCCAATCCTATGCTTAGATATGTAATTTATTACTTTGTTTTTGACAAAAAAAAAAAAAATGTCATAAAAATTGTTTCTTTTATAGTTGTGCGACAAAATTCATCTATTAATTTCTCTTGTGTTCGAAATTATAGAAACATTTTATAGCTTTCAATCATGGTTTGGTAAAGCCGCAGCCTCACCCAAAACAATGTCATTGCACCTTATTTGTCCATCTTTTTGGATGGATCAGGGCCCAAATTGCTAAAAATCCATGCTCTTGTCCTCCAAGTTTGATTTGATTTAAAGAGAGAGAGAGAGAGGGGTCACTCTAAAGATGCGACCTTAGGCCTTTAAAATGTTTAACACCCTCTTTTCATGTTTGGATGCGGTTTCTATAAGGTTCAACTTTAAACTATCCAATTAAGGTGCACCTCCAAATTTTATGATAACATGTAATTTTGGTAAAAGAAATTTTTAGGATTATCTCCTTCATATCTAATTATAAAATTTTAAATTAAAAAATGGCAAAACTCAAGTAGATCTATAAACATATGAAAATCTTGAAAATGGACAGTCTAGATTGAAAGAAGGACACGTGTGATTTAGCCGGAGTATATAATAATTTTTTTTCTTTCTTTTTAAATTGTTTTCTTTTCTTCACGATCTAGATCGCTCACAAGAAATCTTTTTACGATATAACAACTTCAAATAAAATAAAATAAAAGAATACAATATGATCTCAAGTACTTGAAGCCATTCAAAACCACACTTTTCTTTAACAAAGAAAAGACACAACCTATGTTTGGGAAAACAAGATATAATAAATAAATATAGAGGAAACAAAAGAGGGTGTTGTATATTACCTCAACCGGGCTTGTTACATACCTTATAGTCAGCACCTTCCGATGACGCGAGATCTAATGATCAACCTTCAATCTTAACCGGAAAAGCAAGTTTAGACACGCCACACTAATGGAATATGAACCCCTTTGATTACAAAACTCACACCTTAGGTGAATCCCTTTAGCAACCTAGTTTGAGAGATATGCTTCTCTTTTCTATCACAACCCTATAGTCTAGGACTCAATGAGAGATGAGAGATCATGAGAGAGACACAATGATAGAGATGACAAATCTCAATAGCCTAAACCCCTTAGGTTCTTTTACAATGTGGGAGAGAGAAATATTCTAAATGGGGCGTGCCCCTTTTGGTAGGTTAAGAGAGAAAGATAGAAAGATACGGTGTAGAGATTTTGGATAGAGATAATCCATTTTTATAGTAGTTGATTAAGATTAGAGTTTCTTAAGGTTTTTCTTGGCTTGCCACTCACATGAGATTGAATATGAATCATTGATCTTGGGTGACTTGTGGGGTGAAAGATTTGAGCTCTCTATTCCATAGACGAGTCATTACCAACTTATGGAATGTGCTAGACCAATAACCCCCACTTCCTAAACTATTTTCCTATCAATTAATTAAAATAAAAAATTAATATATTATAATATTATTTTTTCTTATTTCAAGCATAAATCTTCTCATACATTCTAAAATATTAATCAAATATTCCTCATGGCTTCAAAACTTTCCAAAGCAACACAAAACCTTATGTCAAGCTTCAAAGCTTGAACACCAAATAGGAAAGACGCCATAGGTGGGGTGTGCCACCCATGGTGATACATAATAGGCCCCCACCCATCATGCAATAGTGGGCCCAAAAGACCTATTGGGCCTCTCATGCATATTTAATTTATTTTATACTTTTGAAAATACACAAAATTATTATTTGAATATTTAAATCATTATAAAATCAATTTCTCTGTTTTTATAAATCCAAAATTGATAAATAAAATATCTAAAGATTTAAAAAGATTCAAATAACAATTCGAAAAATCAAATATAAATAAAATCAATAAATCTTTATGGGAAAAGGATCCCTATGGTCTCAAAAAGATATCAACTGGGGCACTCCATGTCCAACCGCGAACTACAAACCATGCGTGTTTTCTCAAACCAACCCAGCAGTGTCGTAACCCATAGTCTATGCAGGGAATCATTAGTAGGTCACCAAAATATAACCAATGGGCAAGGGGTTGCTGTCCTAGTTTATGGCTTTCAGGTCCCCCTAGAGACAAGACGTCAAGGTCATCCTGACCTTAATACAATCCATGGCTCGATGGTGCACATGGGGTATCTCTCGTACATACATACGTTTCACCCTGAAAGGTGATACACTTTCTCGAAAATAACTATCGATGTGCATGCCGTATGATGAAACAAATAATAAGGATTTAGCCATGTCCCTCAATGCTTCCATCACACACAAGGGTCACATTATTCCTTAGCTCATTCATCCGGTCATACTTCGACCTCATCAAGGGATAACCTATACAACCCTCATCGGTACGATTCTCAAAGCCCAGGAAACATGGGTTTTCTCCAACCAGACTGACCTAGTATGTCAAGCACAGTCTAGTATCAACAAACATCGTTTGCTTAGTATGGCCGATAAGGGATCACATTCCCACTGAGTTCATGTTTCATTATATCATTTCATTTTACAAGCACTCATAAAGCCTTTAATAGCCACACTCACCCAACATAGATAATGTATTGCAAGATACACTATTTATAGGACTCTAATTTTTTTTTTTTTAATATTCATATATCTCGATGGCCCTTGATAGAGCAAAATGAGGGAACACGATTCATTTAGCTGACCCAAAATAGTTGGAATAAAGTTTGGATGACGATGATGATGATTAGAGTGGTGCAACTAAGAACATGAATGTGTGTGTGTGCGTATATGCACGTGTGATATACACCTTATTTTGATTAAATTCTTGTTTATTGAAATGTTTTATAATTTCTTTCCTTAAAAATTTCCCCTTGATTGTTCTCTTAAAAGCTGCATATCATGCTGTCTCATTATATTCACTCGGATATCAACATCTAGTTATTATTTATTTGTTAAAGAAGGACTATAGTTGCTCTTTCATTAGAATTGGGATAACAATCTCATTATCCAGAGGATCTTTTATTTATTGACTAAAGCTTTACATAGATTAAAAGTTGGCCAAATTTTTGCAAATCGTTGGGGAATTCATAA